TGGAACAAGAACTGCTGAGGTATCATTTAATATCTCAGTTATGCTGTGCGTTTAGCATTTTTCATTTGTATGATAGGCTTCTGTGTAATCCAATCTGCATCACTTGTGCTGTTGACTGTTTGGGGGTGATGCCTCAACGTACTGCTTGGGTATAGGAAAGAAAATTGAGAAGTATGATCTCAAGGAATAATTCTTCCACTGACTATGATTGATGCTAGAAGAGTTACAGAATTATTTTATAGAGTCAAAATTCATACTAAATAACTGATCATTTAAAAACTAATAAATTTTAATCCTAGACATTAAGCAATACATAGAAAATAATTGAGTTTTTTTGTTTTTGTTTATGCAGTAAATAAGAATTGTGCCTTTGGAAAGGCTAGTGCTAAACTATTAATATTCTGACTTAACCTCAATTCCCCCCCGCCCCCCCAAAAAAAAATAAAATAAAATAAAAGAACTAGGGATCCTCCTTTTGGGGCCATGTCTTATCCCAAGTATGGTATTGTTCTTGCACATTAGTTTCTCTGCTGGGTTGAAGTTGTTGAAATGAAACCAAAGTTGGATGTAAGGATTGGTGGTTTCTTTGGCAAAATCAAGCAATAGCCAATGAGGATTATTAACATCAAGAATTTTGTTTATTAGTCTTGCAGGAAAACCAGGCCAGACAGATGTTAGATTAAAGAAAAAGTAACACATCACATTATAATGACACGATGACACCTAGATGATATAGCCCCAAGTTGTATTCTCAAAAGAAAGTATGGTAAAAGAAATTTCAAGCGCAAATGCTGCCTATTCATAGTTTGGGACTGCAAAAATTAATAATAATTATGGAATTACATAAATGTTTTTAGGGCTGAAAGTTTACTGTTATAAATAAATTAATCAACCCTTTGCCAGACCTAATTGGTTTTAAACAATAGATTTAACAATTAATTTGTTAAATTATACAGTGTAACTCAAAATACCAACTTCAAAATTATACTAAAATCTTCAATTCTTTAGGTGCAGCTGCCTGCACTGCCATATCTAATTTTCATAAATATATCTACTAGTTGTTGCATTCATCATGGTGGACACCTGCCTGACAGGTTTCATTACTTTTACCATATCTTTGGATCATAGGAAAGAAAATGGAGGGGAAGAAAAAAATTTGAATTATCAAATCTTCTTTTTTCTTCATTTTCTCTTCAACCAAATAAAAGAAAATACATCATTATCTGTATTTTCTTTCCTCTTGTCCAAAGATAGCATGGAAGCATATCTTTCTTATGGTTGCAGTGCAGTGCTGTTTCACCACCGCCAGAAGTATCATTTTTTTTTTATTCTCCAATTTGTCTATTGTTTTTCATTTATATAATTTCATCCGTAATATTTTGGTTCTGTTTTCAGTCAAGAACTTCAGCAAAACGTTCAGTGCCTGCTGGTTCACTTTCAAAACCATCAAAACAAGATCCTGTAAAAGAGGATGGTAGATCTGGAAAAGCTGTTGCTAGAACTTCTGGTTCCTCAACTAGTGACAAGGAATTACAAACCCATGGATCAGAAGGAAGACATACTGGAACTACCAATACTTCTTCTTCAGTCAGTGCTAATGGTAACACTGTTCCAGGTTCTACTAAAGGTTCAAATGCATCAGCTAAGGTTTCATTCGATGGTCCTGGTAATGAATCAAAGGCAGAGGTTGGAGCTGCCAAGTCTTCTGATATTAGGACTTCAATGGTGAAGGATGATGGAAATGACATTACTGACTTCACAAGAGGATCCTCTGCTCGGGTAGTTCATTCTCCTAGGCATGAAAATGCAGTTGTTACTTCAAAGTCTAATGATAAAGTTCAGAAGAGAGCTGGTTCCGCTGAAGAACCTGATAGACTAGGTAAACGACGGAAAGGGGATGTGGAGCTAAGAGATTTAGAAAATGAAGTTCGAATCTCTGAAAGGGAGAAGCTGATGGATCCTCGATTTGCTGATGACAAATCAGGACCAGATGAACATGGTCTGTACAGGGCAGGTGATAAGCCATTAGAAAGGCCAAAAGACAAAGGCAACGAAAGATATGAAAGGGAACACAGAGAAAGATTGGACCGTGTGGATAAATCTCGTGGCGATGACTTTGTTGCAGAAAAACCTAGGGATAGGTCTATTGAAAGATATGGAAGAGAACGGTCTGTTGAGAGAATGCAAGACAGGGGTAGTGAGAGGAGTTTCAATAGACTCCCTGAGAAGGCTAAGGATGAAAGAAGCAAGGATGATAGAAATAAATTACGATACAATGATGCATCAATAGAAAAATCTCATGCTGATGATCGCTTCCATGGGCAAAGCTTGCCTCCACCACCCCCTTTACCTCCTAACGTGGTTCCTCAATCTGTAGGAGCTGGTAGGCGGGATGAAGATGCTGACCGGAGGTATGGAGCTACAAGGCACTCTCAAAGACTTTCTCCAAGGCATGAAGAAAAAGAAAGAAGGCGGTCTGAAGAGACTGTGGTTTCTCAGGATGATGCCAAACGCCGAAAAGAAGATGATTTTCGAGATCGAAAACGTGAAGAAATTAAGGTATGAATCAATATTATGCATCAATTCTCCCATTGCTACCAAGAATAAGGATATGAACATTGTGCTTTGTGGGGGAAGGACCGAACAGTGTATTATGCATGTACCACTGCGGTATCAGTTAGTGTCAATATTCTAATGGTGGTTAAGTCAATTTGATGCCATATGACAAGCTGACAGGTATTTAACAATTATGGGTTTCTTTGAAGAACTACTGGTTTTCTCTGTTGATGCCTTGATGGGTAATATTAACTATCACTAAAAATTGAAAATGACACATGAAAAGAAAAGGCTCAGAATATTAGAATGAAAGGCGTTATCAGGGTTTTATGGTTACAGTTTTAGTATGGTCATTTTTTGCAAGAGTACAGAAAATCAGAATGTAAGATTGCTTCCCTTGATTCTATTACAATTTTACGTACTTCAATTTCTTGCAATGGCTTAAAGAATTCAGATTTTGTTTTTGGCATTGGCCTGGATATTTCACTGTCATACACAGTCGTGCTTCTTAGCATACATTAGCCTCTTTTGGTGTTAGATTAGATTGGGTAGATGGCAGATGATGTGGCTGGCTTTATTCTTCTGATGTTATGTTGTCTTTCTGTTCTATGCAGGTGGAAGAGAGGGAGAGGGAAAGAGAGAAAGCTAACATTCTAAAGGAAGACTTGGATTTGAATGCTGCATCCAAGAGACGTAAGCTTAAGAGGGAGCATCTACCAACTGGCGAACCTGGAGAGTTTTCGCCGGTGGCCCCTCCACCTCCTCCCCCTGGCATTGGTATGTCACAAGCATACGATGGAAGGGATAGAGGAGACAGAAAGGGACCCATGATCCAGCATCCAAGTTACATAGATGAACCAAGTCTTAGGATTCACGGTAAAGAGATGGGCAGCAAGCTGAATCGTCGTGATTCCGATCCGTATCCTCAATTTAATAACGCATACTAGACTGTTTGATTGTGTACTTCATCTGCATATATTTTGTTTACTACCGGTTACATCTTTCATGGAAGAAAACTGCATGCGGAATTCCTGGTGGATGAGTGGATTAAACTTTAAAGCTGCATGATATTGTATGATATTTATGCCTGTTTGGTTTGCAAGATCTTCATCTTCTTTCATGTTTTTGTTGGATGTAATGTTTCCATTCTATTGGTGCACTGTTGTACCCTTAATTGAGTATTAGCTTGTATGACCGAGAATGGGATGATGAGAAGAGACAAAGAGCTGATCAAAAGCGAAGGCACCGAAAGTAACAAATCAAATTGGGATTTCGCAAGTAAACTTTTGGAAGTTTGATCCTTTCATGCAGCTGCTATATTGCTAACTTAATGCATGTGAGTTGAGGGTGCGGAGTTCACCACACTTTTTTAACTGTCAGCCCCCTCATCTGTCTGGTTACTTTTGTGCCAGATTTCAGCAATTCAAATTATTTAATCTTCTTTCTAAAGTCAACGTGAAGAAATTGTGCCTTGTCTTATAAACTTGTATATAGTGTTGTATATTCCAGGGTAGCCGGTGATCAATTGTACTCTGAAAAATGTGATTATTTCGTCTGAACCTTCATTTACATGAATAGTCTAGGAAACATTTTTGTAGACTTGTGCAAATGTTTTGCTGATCTTTCATGAAAAGGGTTCAATGCACCTGTGGTTACATCCTTGACATTAGCGATGAATCCAGTGCCCACTTAATAGACATGCGGAGGGGATCAAACGCGTGTACCTGTCTGGTTATGAAAACCAAACTGGAAATTATTCTATGAACAAACTCAACTGAAAATATGTTAATATAGATCTGTGCATTCTTGTTTGTTTGTAGATAAAATTCTCTAGTAAGATTAACAAATGCAACAATTTACGAGTCAATTTAAAACGAACATTCAAGCGTGCTGTTTTTTTTTTTAATCGATATGACTACATGTATAATAAATAAATATGCTTACTTAAATTGATTGCTTTCTTTCGTCAAAGTTCATTCACGTCTCCTAGAAACATCATAAAATGGCTAGACATGAAAAATTATATAAATAATATTTGTTTTTATTAGCAAAGAGCTTCTTGTCTGTTTAACTAAAAATTGTAGCTGGTTCGAGAATTTAATTTGGGAGATATTTGCTTACAATTTCTCTGAATGGTTCTTCCCTACTCGAAAATATTCCCTTCTACCTCATTCCGTGTCCCTTGGCAAGATTTCTCAAGTACTAGTACTACCAATACAAAAGAAAAATTTGAAAAAAACTTAGTTTTCTATATCAAATGCATAAACAAAATTCAACCTTTTTCTATGTAAAACAATAAAATAAACAAAAAGGAGATCCCATGATGGTGGATCTGCAATTTAAGTTTTACGGATCCAGGACACCAAATCCATTATAAACCACGACATTTTGTACCAACTACCAAGGGTTGTGAGCAAATCTCCCAAATTAAATTGGAACTTCAATTATTTTGGCTCTGAGAATGGGTTATAAGCAGCAAAAGGAGATTTGGATACTGCAATTTTGCATGTGTCATCTGCATGCTCATACCCTTCTTTCCCGTTCTCATCAAAGCTACGTTGTTCATTATCAAATCCATAGTCCCATTCCCTCTGATAGAAGAAACTGCACAAGTCACTCTGACAAAAACTAACAGATGATTCCAACAATGTCTCCCAACTAACATCCTCATTCTCTTCTAATTCTTCTTCAATCAAAGGCCTCTCTTCCTCACCTCTGATCACTTCCTCCCTTTCACCTCCTCCTTCAATTGGAGATTCCACAGAAAAAGATGAAGGGCTAGTAGGACTTGGAGACGATGAAGACTCTGTCAACTGCCACATGCCACTGAGAAAACTTTCCAAAGCTTTGATTTGTATATATGGGATTGGTTCTACCAATGGATACTCATACAAACCACACAAACCCTTTGCCTTGCACCATTCATAGAACTCAGAAAGCTGATTTGTTTGCACTGCTGCTTTCTTATATATATTGAAAGCAGCTATGCAATTCCTATAAGGCATCTGAAGCAGATTCTCCAAAACCGCTATTATTTCCCTTCTGAACTTCGTGTAACAAACAAAACTCTCACGAATTATGAGTTTCATTGCACACTGCACAATGAAACTCCTAGCTGCCACTCCCACTGGGTAACAATCCATCACCTTATCTATAATACTCTGAATCTGTGGCAACACTTCAAGTATTTCACTCATTTCTTTCATTTTCTCTCCAAAAGTTTCTTCTTTTTCTTGTTCGTGTTGTTGGGTATCAAACATGGTGCTATCCAATGCAACACGGTTAAGAACTTCATCTAAGAGGTGTGCATAGGATACAATGAAGTTAGTGTAGGAAACTGGAGATGAAGATGAGTCATCTCTGAAATGACAAGGGTAGAGAGAAAACAAAGCATTAGAACGTGCCCATAATAGTTCAGTCCACAAAGTGGTGTTTCCTGGGAAAGATCGAAGCAAACGATGAAGAAGGATAAGGCACTTGAGTGCCACACGCCAGTTACGCGTGGTGCCAAATCGACGAGTGAAACCAATGGCAAAAGAGTAAAAATGAGATGGGGATGTGGAAAAGAGTGTCAAAAGATGTTGCACGTGCTTTTCATGCAGTGGCATGTCATTGGATTCCGTTGCTTTGATGATGATGAGACTGATATCGGAGAAGCCACTTGCTGAAGCAATCTTAGCATAGTTTACGAAAGTGTGTTCTTTTAGAGCAGTGCAAACTTGCCTAAGTCGCCTCTGCATGGTTTAATGTGCATGTGTTCGTTTATGTCAAGTGTTTGTGAGTAGAGAAGAGTGAAAGATGATTTGTAATGGGAAAAGCTTAAATAAAAACTAGTGTTTCTTAGTGTTGGTTTTAGTCTTTGGTTGTGTCGTGGCTATAACTACGAGGGATGTGGTTGTGTTGTAGTCCAAAAACGGCGATGGAGTTGGAAAGTAAACGAGGGAAAGGAACAATATAATATTCCATTTTGAAAGAGACTGAAAGAGATGCATAGCCTGCAAAACCCAGGCCTCTGTTGAGGTTTGTCCTAGTTTAAGAATTTGTGGGGATGGTAAGGGAAATTTCTGTTCTATGATAGATTTTTATTTCATTTTATATTTAATACATGTTCAAATAACAAAATTAAATATTTATATTATTTTGTCTATTTTTAGTCTAATTTTAGATGATAAAATATAACATAATAATAACATATGGTCATGAGATAGATTTATTGGTTAAACAAATGTAAAATAATATATTTTACCATCTTTTCTTGAGAATCTATAAAAATAAAAAAAAAATTGAACAAATACTTTATTGTCAAAGAAAGTATTTGTTTAAATATTTATTTTATATTTACTATCATGCACTAAAAAAGTTATTTTTATACCCTTCTTAAAATCAATAGTTATAATTGTTTTAATATTCTAAAAATTAGAGAACATTTATATTTTTTTAAGATGAACTACTGAGTACTGATTCTTATTATTTATTATATATATTTAATATATTAATGATAATGATTATTTCATGTATGTTTTAATTTTCAGAGTACCGTAAAAATTGCTTATTTATTTTATTATATTTTAAAAAAAGAATGATTATTTTACTTCTTTTATTTTATTTTTATAAGAAAATTCAACTTTAACTATTTTCTTTTACTTCAAAAATTTTATTTCACATCAATTTATCTTATTTTATTTTAAATTTTAATCATTCTCTTTTGTTTTGTTTTCTGTATCTTTTTTCATTCTAATTTTAATTCAATCAGAAAAAAGAAAAGAAAAGTGCAGGCACACCTTCTGGCTGGCTGAAAACATGAACACACTTAGAGAGCACAACTGAGATCATTGCACTATGCACTATACAACTGTGGGCTATATTCCTCTGTTCAGCCTCACCCCATTTTTGCTACTGCTTCTGTCTCAGAAGCTTCTACGACCCTCATTTTTCAAAATTGATAAAACATCAAAAAAATTAACTGGGTTCAGAGGCTTCAGAAGTGGAACTCCCTTCTGATGATGATTTCTGGCCATGCTTGTTATTTTAGGAGACATAACATACTATAAGAAACAAATTGAATCTTCATTATATTTGTGATACAATGCAACACAATTACCTTAAAAGCCTTGAGTCCTCATTTTAAACTGCAAGATAATCCATCATAAATAAGTAATTAATCAATAATATTTTTCTATAGAAAAATATATGAAAGTGTATGTATCATATGGAGAGAGATTTAATTTTATCATGTAACTTTTTCAGAAAATAATGTTTTAAACACTAAATTATTAAAATATATTACTTTTTAAAAAAAGCTTATGCCATAAATATTTTTAACATATTACGTAATTAAAATTATTTTTAGGGACCTGTGCTTTTAGCACTGTTCTATTTTTTTTTCCTTACCTATTCTCCAATTTGTTGGGCCACCCAAACTCAGATGCTTTGAACACTTGGGCTTGCCTACTGCCAAAAAAATATGCACACTGATAATAATTACATAATTTTGAGAGAGAGGCGCTAAAAGGAACGAGGGAAAAAATAAGATAATAAAAAAATATAACAAATTACATGAAATTGAATTTATACAACATTTTTAATAGAAATTTGTGAGAGTGTGTATAAAGAGGGAGAAGTAAAATTAATCTTATTATATAAATATTTCAGAAACTATTTTTTATTTTCTAAAAATATTAAAAATAATTTTTAAAATGTATTATATAATTTAAAAACAATTTATGAAAAATAAACATCCCCATACCCAATCTTTAATTCACTAATTACATTATCGTTTATTACTATATAAAATGGCAGGGCGTAAATAAGAGAGGGCAATGGGGGCATTTTACCAATCTCAAAAACCCTAATGCGCGCACACACACATATATATATATCTATATATATATAACAAGCATTGCAGAGGCAACGAGTGCTGAAACGAAACCCTGGTCGTGAAAGGTAAGAGGCAATCGAATCGAGAATGGCGCAAGCGACACCAATCGAGCAAGTTCAGTGCTTCGGCCGGAAGAAGACGGCGGTGGCAGTTACATACTGCAAGCGAGGTCGCGGCCTCATCAAGATCAACGGTTGCCCCATCGAGCTTGTGGAGCCGGAGATCCTTCGTTTCAAGGCCTTTGAGCCAATTCTCCTCCTCGGCCGCCACCGCTTCGCCGGCGTCGACATGCGCATCCGTGTCAAAGGCGGCGGTCACACATCTCAGATCTACGCCATCCGTCAGAGCATCGCCAAAGCCCTTGTCGCTTTCTATCAGAAGTACGTCGACGAGCAGAGCAAGAAGGAGATCAAGGATATTCTCGTCAGGTACGACCGCACACTCCTCGTTGCCGATCCTCGGCGCTGCGAGCCCAAGAAGTTCGGTGGTCGCGGTGCTCGCGCTAGGTTCCAGAAATCATACCGTTGATTTCGTATTTTATATCATGTCGAAATCTTTTTTATGTGCTCTATGTTTTCTTCGTTTTGAGTTGTTTAGCCGGATTTTGAATACAATTACTTTATGGTTTAGTTAAATTTAATTTCTGTTAATTTAAATGTTGTTGTTCGGATGCTGTTTTATTTTGTTGTTTTGGATTTGAATCAGTTTTTGCGTTTTACATTAGGGTTTTATTTCTACTATTATGTTCAATTGGATTATTTTAAGGTGGATGCTAGATAGTTTCTGTTGACGTTAGTACACTGGTTGACTTGGATTACGATTAGGGTTTTTAGCCATTTCGTTCTGTGTGTTTTTGGGTATTCAAATGTGCGAAGTTCCTAACCAGTGCCAGAAAAGCGGATTTTTACTTGTGGACGTACCTTTTTGCCAATCTTGTACTGTGAAATCTGATACCCTGTGAAAGTTCACTAAGACCAAAACAGTGTATCTTGATAGAACAAGAACCCAAGGTTGAACCCTGGCATTGAATATAGAACATTCCCATTCGAATTCATCTTTACATAGCCAAGTTCTTTGTTCTGCCAACAGTATATGGTACCTTTTACCTTTCTCTTCTGCGTTGCTATCTTATTTACGGCCAAAATGAACGTGCCACTCGCATTGCTATCTACTGGTTTGAAAACTATCCCCAAATATCAGAGGATTAACTTATTTTGTTGGTTTTGGCGTGAGAATTTTATTATACCTATTACCTTTTTTGATGAAAGAGTTGTGTTACAGTGGGAATTTACTTGTGAGCTTTTTATGAAGTATGAATTTGACATATGTAAATGATAAATCATGTGTAATTCACTTCGTTATGCATATTTTTTAATCAAACACTCGCAGAGTTGCGTTTCTTATATGATAGACTGAACGTATCTACTGTCATCTTTATTTTTAAGTGATTATTGTTTAAAATACTTAATTTTTCCTCTATTATAATAATAGTTTAAAGATATTTTATATAATTTTTTATAAATAAGAGTGACGCATTTTCTGATAATATTTGTATAGAATATTTTCTGACACACTTTCTCTATTATATCTGAATAAATTGGTTGACAAAATGTTAAACAGTTCTGAAATTGTATAGAGAATGATGAAATTCAATGTTCATTAATAAAATTATGAAAAATAAATTACATTACTTTTTGCTCTATTATTTTGAGTGTTGTCAGGATATTTATATATAAAGTAATAAATTTTTATTTAAAAGTACATTTAGAGAGAGAGTGTGTATTGTTACGTTTTTTTCTAAACTTTTCCATATAATACATTCGTTTTTTTAATGCAAATATAAGTAATAGGTTATATGATGACTATATTGAATGATGTACATTAAGTTTTAAATAAATTAAAAGTTCATATTTTTTCAATCCAACGTGTTACATGGGAGCCATTTTGAACCCAAGCTGACAACATGCAGGGGTGTAGTTAGATTTGAGTGTAATTTTGATCTACAGCTACTGTAAAAAAATTACACTTTAATATCTCAAATCATCAATTTAATTAAATACAATGGGCACTGTAAAACAAATTTCCTTGTAAATTCCATTAATAAATGGAGAATATCAATAAGTGTTTAAAGTATTAGTTAAAGAATTAAACAAAAGGAAATATGTAATTAAATTATCAATAATTATATCAAAAGTTGAATAAATTTGAATGAAATGTGATTTTTATTAAAACGTATATATTTCTGTGACTTTTATTGATTTAATTGATATTTTTACATGTTTTAAAAGTGTATAATACGTTAATCTTAATGTATTTGAATAACGCATCAAATAACTTTAAATTTATTTAAAATATAAAAATAAATTTTAATATAAGAGTTGTTTTTTAAAAATTTGATATATAAAATAGGTTTTTTTATTTTTATTTAAATGGGGGGTTGAGTGCCAGTCAATTCCCTCTACTCAGCCAACACGTCCAGTTGTTTGGACATATTTATGTAACTACATATTATAGATTAAACGTTCATAAGTTTATAATTTTATAAAAATATGTTATATATTCAATTAAATTTAATTAGCGAAACATTAAATAATTTAATAATTATATAGAATTACTGATTTTAATTTTTTTGATAAAATTTAATTTAAAAAAATTATTACACACATTTATATATCTGTTAATGTAAGTTTTAACAAACTTACGCCTTTATTATTTTCTAAAAATAGTAGTTTTTATTAATTCAAACATCAAACTACAAATTCTCATGAACTGGGTTAAGTTTGAAAACTTTATTATAATTTAACACATCATATCTTTTTTTTTTTTGCCAATACATAATATCTTATTTTAAACATAAATAAATTATCAAATTTTATTTTTTATATATATGCAAATACGTAAACTATTTAAAATTTAACATAATACACAATCATCAAAATAGTATTATCTGGTATAATTTGTTAAATAATAACTTTTACTATTTATATAAACATCATCAAATGTTTTTAGTTATCGATATTTACACTTGCATTTTAGGTGTTAAACAGGTGAAAAAATTAGAGAGATACAGGAAGAAAAAAACAGAGTAAACAAGTAAGAGACATAAGGAGTGATAAAACAGAAGAACAAAGATATATAAAAATTAAACATTGGAAATAAATGCAACAAAAATTGAGAGTAAAAATACAAAAATCATAAAAATATTTATATTGATTCGTGTCTATTAATGGTTTGTCCAAGTCACAGTGTAAGAAACTACCATTGAGCAATATTTACAATAAAAGAAAGGGGTAGAGTTGAATTCAACACGTAATGTAACGCTAGTTTTGCATTTGCACAAGTATTCACTAATGAAACCACAACAAGGGGAGGGAAACGGGTCGGGTAAACGGTAAATATGCGGATTGGGAGAACCCGTTCCATAGGGTAGAAAACGGGTCGGGTAGAAGTGTGAGCCGCAAAGTGTGTATAAGCTAGAAAGAGTGAAAAGAGGAAACTAGGGTTTTAGCAGAGGTGGAAGGTTGTTGAGGGGGTTTTAGAATTTCAGAATCAGATTTCCATCATTTCTCCATTTTCGCTGAATCCAAAACCCCATCATCAATGGCCACCACGGTTCCTCCTCCTTCATCCGCCGACAACAAGGTCGACGAGAAGGTCGATTACTTCAACCTTCCTTGTCCCATTCCCTTCGAAGAGCTCCATCGCGAAGCTATGAGTCTGTTTCTTCTTTTTCTCTCTTTCTTTTTCGTCGTTTTTTGTTTTTTGTTATATCAAATTTTAAGCATCATTGATTTCGGAAAATGTTTACATGGCACTTTAATTATTATTTTTTTGTTTGTTACTGGTCAGTGGCTTTGAAGCCAGATCTTTTTGAGGGCATGCGTTTTGATTTCACTAAGATGCTCAATCAAAAGTTCTCTCTCAATCACAGGTACCTTCTGTGGATTTTTCTTTCATCTGTTTGTTGAAATTGGATTGTAAAGTTTGTTTATTTGTTGATGTTGTATGATCAGTGTGTTGATGGGACCTACTGAGATTCCTTCTCAATCCACGGAGACCATTAAGATTCCGACGGCGCAGTATGAGTTTGGTTCTACCTTCATTGATCATCCTAAGGTAAGGTGGCTTTGGGTTTCCTTGGAATTAACTTTTTATTAGCTGCACTCTCAATGATGATGATGTTCTGCAGTTGTTGCTGTGGGGGAGAATTTTGACTGATGGGAGGCTGAATGCGAGAGTCAAGTGTGATTTGTCCGAAACTCTCACTTTTAAAGCCAATGCACAGGTTTGCATGCCTGTTTCAATTATGAGTATTGCTGTCTGTGATTTTCCTCTGTTTTGTACCCTTGGTGCTCTGCTACTTCTCTGATTAGTTAGTAGTTAGTACATATTTGGACTCTAATATGAGAAGAAGAGTTTGTATTATTTCGTTGTTTCTAGCGTCTTCAAGTTTGAAAAGGTAGCTTAGAACTTATTGGTACGAGAAAAAGTGAATGTGGGTGTAATGGAATATTCATTCTATATATTTGTGCAGTATTTTGTATAAATGTCTTCCTCTTTCCCTCCCCATTCTCATGCTTCTTTGCTAGCTATCTGTTATCCTTATCTCTGTTACTCGCTTTAATCTTCTATTTTCTTGTGTGCTTGTACAGCTTACAAATGAGCCGCATATGTCTCATGGGATGATCAACTTTGATTACAAGGTCAACTAGTTTCTCGTTTTTAGATTATATCATTGGATGCCCCTACTCCTCTAGTTATATTTTTCCATTTTCTTTCCATTAATTTTTGTCTTTTGTTAGATATATACTGTGTTTGCGTTTCTTAAATCTTAATGGAAGTTTCACTTTCAAATACTATCCATATCCTTTAATAGTTTAAGTCTTGTTTAATAATTTCCTTATATGTTTCAGGGAAAAGACTATAGGACACAGTTTCAACTTGGGAATGGAGCCTTACTAGGAGCAAGTTATATTCAGGTAGGAGATCTGCATGCATTGTTCAGTGTTTCTATTCCTTTTGTTTAAGTGCATATGTAAATGATAAGGCAGGGATAATGAAAATTGATGTTGCGTGTGGTTTGAATTTTATATATTTTTTCTCTGTTTCTGAAATTAATAAAATGAAAGAAAGGGAAAAGCAAGTTGGTGTCTAGACTTGTTGTTCAACAGATGAGGAGGCTTTTAGCAAATGAAACTATCACTTAGGACTGACTCTTTCATTTGAATGATTTTTTGTGAATTTTATTTTTTTATTCTGTCAAAATTCTGATAAATTTATCTGTAGTGTATTCTTTTACTGACGTGTTAACGTTACTTTTTAATTCAAGTAATCTTTTCTTTTTCCTCTTTTGCTTTAGGTTAATTAACAACATTATGTAGTGCAGCTAACAGGATGTATATAATTGAACCATGGAAGGAGAAAACTAGGTTAATTATTTTTTTTAAAGTGCAAAGGAAGAGGATAATAATTACTCAAGGATATATTTGAGATAGATAATTGATGGTTGCTGATGCTTTTAACAGAATAATAGTTTGACCACATGTGCCTGTTTGTCTTTCATAGAAAGTCATGAAAGGCACCAGGCTCTGATGGAAATATACCTTACTATTGCAATATTTCAGGTAAAAAAAACAATAATTTGTTGGGCTGATTGATTGGTTTTGGCTAATCCTCGAGGTCATGTGGCTGGCAATCTATCATCAGCAATTTTCTATTGAATAGAAAGTCCATCTCCATCAGTGTTTCTTAGCTAGGTTCTTCTGGTTTAGATGTTTGATTTCATTTGGTTCATATGGACACTATTTGCTTCCTTAGAAAATATTAGTGATATTTGTTTTTTTGGAGGTGAGGGGTTAATGGTTTATGTTCAGTGACATCTTAATACTTTATTAGTTTTAAACTGTTATTAATATTTGACAGCTGCAGAGACCATTAATGTGTACATATCTTGTTGTTTCTTTATTTTAAATGACTGCTGTATTGTGTGAGATATATTATTATTATTATAATCAATTTATTTCCTGTTATTGTGGATTTATGCAATAATGTTCTGTGTTATTGTAAATGTCTGTTTACTTTATTACATTTGTTACAGAGTATTTTTCTTCTTAAAAATGCTGAGCATGACTCTTTTGATTTCCCTTAACAACCTGCTGTA